AAAGGCACTGTAGTCGTTTGGAATCTCGAAGAAGGAAAAGTTGACAGTTTAATTATTAAAGCGCATCATGGACCTATTTGTGGTCTTCAGTGTTTACCAGATGAACCGCTCCTCGTGACTTCATCTTCTGACAATTCTTTAAAAATGTGGCGTTTTGACATGTCTGATGGTTCGGCCAGTCTGTTTAAAATACGCGAAGGTCATTTTAAACCTCCAGTTTCTATTCGTTTTCATGGAACAGATGGTGCTAGTATTTTAAGTTCTGGCAATGATTCCTCATTGCGTGTCTTTAACACAGTCACTGAAATTGCAAATAAAAGTTTTGGACGTGCATCATATAATCGTAAAGCTTCCAAAAAAAAAGGAAATAAATGGGCTGATCCTCTTATCATGCCTCCAATATCTACATTCACATCAGAAACCACTCGAGATAAAGAATGGGACAGCATTGTTGCTGTACATCGAGGTATACCAACAGTAACTACTTGGTCGTTTGACAAAAGTAAAATGGGAGAGCATAAATTGTGTCATGAAAGATTTAAAAAAAACGTCAGTGGACAGAAAGGAATCAGTGCCACATGTGCATGTCTTACACATTGTGGTAATTTTGCTGTCATCGGTTACAGTTCTGGTCACATTGATAAGTACAACATTCAGTCAGGATTACACAGAGGAACCTATGGACAGCCAACAGCTCATAAATATGTACGCGGTGTCTATGTGGACACACTTAATCAAATAATGGTATCTGGCGGTTCAGATACATTTTTACAATTCTGGAATTTCAAAAAATTAAGTAAGTCAGATTTATTTTTGAAATTATTGTTTGTCTATTATTTTATTAAAAATGTATTCATTTTTTTCAGATTTATTGTCTAAATTGGAGTTGGAAGATACAGTTTCATTATTCAGCTGGCACACAGAAAGCTCATTTCTAGCAGTTGCTTTAGATAACTTTGACATTTGTCTAGTTGATATTGATACACGCACCGTCGTAAGAAAGTTTACTGGTCATCGAGGTCCAATTACTGATTTGACATTTAGTCCAGATTCCAGATGGTTAGTTACATCAGCAATGGATTCAACTATTCGCACTTGGGACATTCCGTCATCATCAATGATCGATATACTTAAAGTAAGCTGACATAATAATCATTGGATCATAAATATTACATTATAATTTTTCTTATAATATTTTAGGTTGATACACCCTGCGTTTCATTGACATTTGCACCAACTGGTAGCTATCTGGCTACAGCGCATGCTGACCGTTTGGGAATATATTTATGGTTCAATAAATCTCTATACAATCATGTTAGCCTCCGACCTATCACTGAAGAAGATCAGATCACAGAACCTCTACCATTGACTGGAATTAATCAAGAAACTTTAGAATGCCCTATTGATGAAGATGCAGATGAATACATATCTAAAGTACAAATTGAAAACACTATAACTATGAGTGGTCTGAATGATGCTAGATGGCAGAATATATTGAATTTAGACGCTGTCAAAAAAAGAAACAAACCACTGCAACCACCAAAAGCTCCTGCTGCGGCTCCATTTTTCCTACCTACTGTACAATCCATAGACTTCCAATTCGATTTAAATGGAGTTGGTAAGACAGATTCCAATACCAAAGCTATTCCTGAAACATTAATGCAAACTGTTTTTGCTCAACAACTTTTAAAAGCCACTTCGCTAAACGATTATCAAGTTTTATTTGATCAGTTAAAATTAATGGGACCATCAGCTTTAAATTATGAAATACGAAGTTTGTCGCCAGAAGCTGGTGGAACATATGAACTAATGGTTAAATTTTTAGAGCTTTTAAAACAAGTATCTACAAGTAATAAAGATTTTGAATTAACGCAATCTTATTTGGGTGTATTTTTAAAATATAATGGACGTGCGTTGGCTCAACGACCAGAAGCGATCAATAGTATTGAGCCATTATCAAAAAATAATGCTTGGGAACAATTGCAAAATAATTTTTTGTTATGTCTTAGTATTGTAGAATATATGAAAAATAATTAATAAGCATTTATTTTAGTTTTTACATACTTGTATAATGTTTATGCATTGAAACAGTTTTATGGAAATACCTAGTTAAAATACAACATTTAACTGAACATCAATATTACAATATAATTTATTTATTTATTTTCTTTGCATTAAAAAAAATAGCTCTCATATACAATATTAACATTATAATATCTAACTTGATAGGCATTTATAAAAACATTATATTAATATTTTCATATTATGCATGTGGTTTTTGATTCGTAAAATGATATAAGACAACAAGTTGAGCATAATAAAAATAATTATGACTTCATAATAAATTTAAATGTGCACGAGAAAAAAGTTAAAATGTACATTTGGGCAACGTTTTAGAAGCAGTTCAATGTAATAAATATGATTTAATATGATGTCTACTTATAAATTGTGGTGGTATAAATGTACAATATTTTTTACAATGTATTACAATTAACATGCATTTTTATAGTATACTAGAACTATGATTATACTATACATATCTTAAAGTTATGACTCCAACTATTATGAAATAATACAATTGTAGAATAAATTATATTCTATTCCAAAAAAGTTAGGAAAAATCATGAAAACATGTAGCGTTTGCACATGTGCTGCCAACTACTAGCCAATCACAACAATCTCACCGTTCCTAGGCTGCGCAGTTTTTTCAAACTTATTTTGAATAGAGTATAGTTATAATCTTATAAATATTTAAAACGTTAAGGTGGTTTACAATTTATTTATGATGTCATTCAAGTATAAATAGTATGTGGAACTATGTGTAGTCTTGTGAAAGGTAATTACTTTTTAAATCGGTGGTGTCATTTTAGTTTTTGAGATTAGAGGCAGTAGTTTTGTTCGTCCTATAATAAAACTGAAAAAAAACTGCTCGGTAACCATTACATTACATTACAATTGCATTTTTATCTCAATACAAATAGCCTTTTTACATAACTTTATACTTATTAGTTACTATCACAGTTACCTACTGGCAGTGTTGTATAGTATTTGAGTAAAAGTAATTGAGTAAAAGAATTCAAATACTTTTTTCGGTATTGAATACTTTTTTAAATACTTTTTATTTTGAAGTATTTGAATGGTATTTTAAATACTTTTTTTTATTATTTAATACTATTTTATTGAATACTTTTATTTAATTTTTTTTATTCTCTAGGAGACAGCTTACTGTCGACGATGATCGAAAAGATACATCTGTAGTCGGTATCACTATTAGCTTAAGTTAACAAAATATATATGTAAAAAGCTTCTACTTAACGGCTATTATATTTTATAGTTTATAATTATTTAACTATACGAAAATAATGTTAATAATTATTAGTACCTACTGGCTAGTGGCTACCTATTTATCAAGAAAATTTTTATCAATTATTATCATTATTGTTTATCGATGACGGTATGAGATATCCAAATACATAATATAGCTTTAAACTAATATAATAACTCTGTTGAGAAAAGTTCATTGTTGTAGTGCAACTAACATGACTAATCAGAATTTTGATTATTGAACGAATCATGTTTTTAAAATGCAATAAACACATTTTTGATTATAACAAATTATTTCAGAACTAAAAAGTAAAAAGAATTTTTTTTTTGTATTTGAGGATTATTTTAAATACTTCTGAAAAGTATTTGAGTATTACTCAAATACTTTACTATTTATAGTATTTGGGTGGTATTTTAAATACTTTATTTTAAGAGTATTTGAGTAATTACTTAAATACTTTTAAAAAGTATTTTTTACAACACTGCCTACTGGTTACTATCATGGGCATAAATAACCTATATTTTAAGATATAACAATGACTAAATAATTAATACATAATATGTAGAGGAATAGATACCTAAATATATTACTTATTATCTTCTATATTAAGGCCCAAAACTAGCCAATACTCGGCCCGCTAATGACAAGCGGGGGAAATGCCCACCCTGCCACCCCACCAAATGACGCCGCTGTTTTAGAAGTAGGTAAGTATTGAAATACTACTGATACAGATGTCAAATACCTACTTAGTTTTAAAAATATGTTTTTACATACATTCTGAAAACAGATTTGAATTTGTCGTCAAGTCTACTTGAAATCGACTTTCCCACATTTTTGATATTATCCCCCCAATTTTTTTAAATGTCATATTCAAAAAGAGTATTTAAAAATTCTGGTATTTCAATTATTGGAGAAGTTAAAATCAAAAAATCAAAAATGTCGGAAAGTCGATTTCAAGTAGACTTGAAGACAAATTCAAATATGTTTTCAGAAATCTTATCGCTTCAATAGATCAATTGAAATGTTTGGCAAAAAACAAGTCTAAAATACTATGTCGCCCGTGTGTTAGACAAGAACAGAAAATCACGGTATCGAATCCCCTTAAGACGCATAACAAAATAATTGGAGCCGAAAAAATCGGCTTCAAGGCTCAAGCGCAGACTAAGCGGAACACGGTAGACGCGGAAATGCGGAATATTCAGCAAAAACTGGAAGTGCTTATCAGTTATCACTTATCACTATTATCAATTATCATCTTGCCTCCAATCGGCAATCTCTTCGACTTCATATTCAGACAACGACTCTAAACTCTTCCAAAGTTCCGACCACACTCGCTTTTGATTCACACTAATTTAGGCAATAATAATATGACTTCTAAATATTTTAATAATTAATAATAATTATATTATTCGTACTTTCATTCTTGTAATTTCCTTTCGATAACTATTTCTACAATTTTACGCGGCAGTCTCGATATTACTACTCGACGCTTACGTCGCTACTTTAAGACATTTGGACTGCATCATCAACGTGAACAATATTGTTTAAGATCATTATTTGATCTCCGTACAGTCGGGAAACGATTTACATAATGACATTCAAACCATCATAAAGTTTGTCGTCCTTGCTTGCGTTTTTTACATTGAAAATTAAGCAAAATCAGTTTGATTTGATAATGAACGACTGTATTGGCAAACGAGTAATAGCATTAGTTGACATGGATTGTTTCTACTGTCAAGTAGAGGTTCAACACAACCCGTCGTTGACTGGAAAGCCGGTGGCAGTCGTTCAATACAACAGTTGGAGAGGTGGGGGGTGAGTCATCTTGCATAACAATATTTGTGTCTGACATGCATCGGACCATAGTCATTCTGTTATTGTGTTTCAGGATAATCGCAGTGAATTATGAGGCAAGGGCAAAGGGGGTAAACCGACATATGAGAGGAGATGATGCATTACAGGCTTGTCCAGATTTAAATTTGGTACGTGTGAAGGAGCTCCATGGAAAAGCAGATTTATCAAAGTAAGTGATTTTCACTTGATAGGCATAATATACTCCATAGTTGTGATTGTTAACATTTACCAGACATTTTGTTGAATATTGACATTCAATTAGATACCTACCTATATAATTTCAATTGCATTCATTATTTCAATTAAAATAATGCATTATTTCTAGCAACATGACCACATGGCTGCTATACGTGGGAGGTACTTAGTTATCATGATAATTTTTACAATTAGATACTCAATAACAATGTTCCTTAAGTAATAAGTATTAAAATATAGGTTTTATACAAATTGTATTTACTATTTAAAAGTTAGAAACATCCCAGAAAACAATTATTATTTCATACACATTCCTCAAGGTTCAACACATAATAATTTTATTTTAATATACTAAACTTTTTTTTATGGAAATTTAGTTTGGTTTCTTCTTATAACTATTAACTATAAATTAAGTTAATACCTATATTGTTTAGATATTTCATTAAAAATATTTTATTTAATATTGATTTAAATCAGACGTTATGATTAAGATACAATGTTATCTACACTTATTATTTGTAAAATTGTAACTTTTTTTAAAATATGTTTTTTTTTCATAAATTGGTAATTTCAATGCAATTTTGAAAAAAATGTAATCTTCATAATTGTGTAAGTTTAACCTTTTTAACTGTTTACAAACTTTCACCAACATAGGTAATAGGTATATTTTTAATTTAATATACTGAAGCAGAATGTTTTTAAAAGTATTTGGTAATTTCAAATCAAATCATTAGTGTTTTAAGTTTAAATGGGTGGAGTAGGTAGAAACAATGGACATTATTCTGCTTCCCTAAACATTAAATACTATTATCACTTATAAGCATAGGCGTGTCCAGACCTTGTTCGCAGGTCATGCACAGTAGTGTCATATTCAGGGGAAGTAGGTTTCTGCACCCCCACCCCCTAAAAAAAATTTCAATAGTTGTAATAGATATTAAAAGTCCACATGATGAAAATCAAAAAATTTAATATGAAATCAAAATCTAAGAAAAAAAGTGTATATTATTATGTACCGCAATTTATAATGTAAGTTAGATCAAAATTCGCAGGTCATGCCTGTGCATGACAGGCAAGACCCGTAGACACGCCTATGCTTATAAGTCTAGGGCTGGAAGTAATAATATTTGAATGTTTTTCGTGGAATATAAGATTTATTTCTAAGTAAAATAGAAATTATTTTCAAGAAACAACAAAAATTAAAATACCTATATTAAATATTTATAGTGCATATTTTTACATACTTTGTGATTTTATTGAATTTATATAATAAAATATTAATAAACTACTTGTTAGAAATTCAATTTTTGAGTATCAATATACTTCAAAAATATTCTGCTTCAAATCATGAAATTACAATTAGTGTATGTTGCCATTATAAAATATAAATACTAAAAAATAGTAAAATTTAATTTTTCTTAGCAAGATTATGTTTATTTTTGTTTCATTTGTTTTGTTCTTTATAGATACCGTACAGCCAGTCAAAAAGTATTTGAGGTTCTCAGTCAATTTAGTTCTTGTGTGCAAAGAGCTAGTATTGATGAGGCTTATGTTGATTTAACTAGTGTGGTAAATCATCATATTTCATCTAATCATAATGTAATAACGGAAAATGACCTACCCAATACATTTGTTGAAGGATATTCAGATGATAACTCAAAAGGTAATTAAAGTATGAATGTATCTTAAAGATTACCCAAATTAGTTCTTTATGAATATTTCTGTGTACATTTTGTTCCTTGTAGTTTTTCCACCATAAAAATTCTTAAGTAATTCTAATAATATAAATTTTGTTTAAATTGAAAATTACTTAATAATTGTTTGTACTCCATGAAAATATAAACAATTAATGAAAGTTTAACTATGATGCTAAAATATGTGGATACCTATTAAATATTATAAATATTTAAATAGTATTTATTTTATGTTTTCATTTAGAAGATAAAAATGTGAATTTAAAATCTTGGCTCCATGATGTGTACAATAATGAGTTACAAGATGACTATTTACTCCGCTTAACAATTGGTGCTATGATGGTTGAAAAATTAAGACAATCAATTTTTGAACAAACTGGTTTTCGTTGTTCAGCTGGTATTGCAAATAACAAGGTTTGATGATTTAAATATTTTTTATAGTAAATAATAAATAACATGAAAAATAACACTTGCCTATCTTTTAAACTACACCTTACTTTGGAAATAATTCAATGAAACATTGGTCAAAAAATATTCTGTAATAAATAAACTGATTCAATGGTGTAAATTGGGCTAAATTGTTAGGGTTGCAATTACACACTCAGCCCAAATATAGTTTTTTTTTTATATTCTAAATTTAATATTATATCCAAGGCTGAGATTTTGAGTCTAAGATTAAAGAGTTAAAACAAGTTGACAAGTGATATTGCTCTGCTGTAGGTACTGTAGATTTTGATTGGGCCATATAATGGATAGTGTTAAATTTGAATTCAATGGTATAATATATAACTTATGAGGAACCTTAATATAAAATTATCAAGTTCGACCAGGCAAAAAACTTTTCATCAACAATAATTAATAAAATTTGAAAAATTTCTTATGCCCATCAATAGCTCGAAAAAGAGGCAAAATATTATGGTGTATAGAAACTACTAATATAAACATTGAGTGAAAAACAATAGGTATATATATCTACTGTAATTTATTTTTTTGTGACATACCAAAAAAAACAAAATTGATTTTGTCAAAAACTTGTTTTGTGTTAAATTTTCTTATTTTCCATAAATGCTGGAAATTTTCTATTATTACCTTTCAAATGTGGGAACTAAATTTACTTTCGCATCAGTAAAGTTACTGAAAATGATAATTTAAAGCATTATTTTGGCTACTGATTGTGTACACTGACATAAAAAAAATGTTTGAAAATTGTAAGTAGGCATGATTTTTTGGTGTCACAATAAGATACTCTTGCGATTCTATGATATTTTTAGGGGTCACAAGTGCATATCAGTGGGACCCCCCCCTCCCGTTCCCGCCACTGAATTGATTAATTACTTTGCACTCGCATGTATCTCTCCGTCTTACAAAGACCCTAGAACGCTGCAGTCATAACTAAAAAACAATATTTTCACCACATAAAACGGAGAACTTTGGCTGTGCAATATCGTTTTTATTTTTTTTGATATCACTTATACGAAAAAAGTTCTTATTGTTTCAAAATCCATTATTATTTGTGTTTTTTAAACTTAAATAACTTTTTTTGAAGTTGCAATAACGAAAAAATAAAAACGAAATTGCTTAGCGAAAGTTCTCCTTTATATGTGGTGAAAAATTTGTTTCTTAGTTAGGACTGTAGCCTTCTCGGTTCTTTCCCGCGCCAAAACATTTTTAGTATGCCATACGTGTGTAAGACGGAGACAAAATACTCGGGCGCGACGTCCTCTTAAGAGAATGCTACCCATGCATTGGATGTCTCTTCGTCTTATACACGTACGGCGGAAAGTTTTCTATGATGTGCTGTTAGTTTTGATATTAGAATGATATCAAATGTTTAGGTAAGAATATTTTCTGTGCTTAAGCTTTGGCTTTTATTCAAAATTTAATTTTCATGCTAGAAATTATCATTTTTAATTTTTGATATTTCACATAGGTACCCATATCTTATTTGAAAATGAAAATATCGTAAAATCGCCAACAGATATAATGTTCTTACCTAAAAGTTTGAGTATAGATCAATTCACTCTAATATCAAAACTAACAGTGCACTATTGAAACTAGTGAACAAAAATTTGCTATGTTCTACTTGTGTAAGATAGAGACAACAAATGCATAGGTAAACGTCATCTTAACTTTTATAGATTAAATTTATATTGATTGTATTTAAGATTAAATATATAATCAATAAAAATTATACTTCTGTAATGTATATACCAGAGGTGGATTTCTAAGTCGATCCCCTTAGTTAGAATTTATTAATTATTTTATACATTTGTCATTACCCAGATAGCAATTTCGTAACGTTGATAGTTGCAGTTATTAAATACATATTTCGGATTAACCTATCAGTGTGAAATGGCATTTTCTCACACGAAACATATCAAAGCTGAATAGGTAGGTACCGAGCTATACTTTCTGATGATCATTTAGAACGAGGTCTTCATTTAGAAGTTTATGAATATTACCGAAATTATAATTAACTGGCCATGATATGCAACGACACGCTTCTATATCAACAGGATAATGTTAATACATTTTAAAATTATTTATAAATTTAATGTGAAACACTCGTTTCAGATAACTTTACACTTTTATTTTATTATTTATATAAGTATATTTATTATTAATATAAAATATTTTTTTTACATTAGTTTATTCTAAAAGAAAAAAATATACCCTCAGTAGATCTTAATCAAAAAAAGTTTGGCCGCCCCTGGTATATACGAATACAGTTTAGAAGTGTTTAAACCTTTCAATGGTTTCTCACATAAAATGATTTAAGTATTAGATTATAAATTTAATTTAATAATGCCGTTTAATTTTTTCCAGATTTTATCTAAGCTTGCTTGTGGGTTACACAAACCTAATCAACAAACAATGTTGCCACCTTCTAGTGTACCTCATTTGTTTGAAACCATACCAATAAAAAAAATAAAAAATTTAGGTGGTAAACTGGGAGAAAGAATAAGGAAAGAATTTAACTGTGAATTCATGTCTGATTTAGCTGCAATACCCCTAAATGATTTACAACAAAAGTTTAACGACAAGACATGGTAATGATCAATTTCATAATATTTCTAATGAAAAATTGTAATAACTAATAAGATATTTATTTTTTCAGTAACTTTTTGTATCAAATCTCCAAAGGTATAGATAATGAGCCTGTGGAATCTAGACTTATACCCAAATCAATAGGCAGTTGTAAGTCATTTCCTACGGGGCTAAAAGCCAAAGAAGAAATAAAAAAATGGTTGAACACGTTGATGAATGATATTGTAGATAAATTAAAAGATGATTATGAAGCTGTGTGTACTATTTATTCATTTAATCCAATTTTATTTTGAAAATAAATATTGTTTGTTTTTTAGAATAAAAGAAAAGCAACACTGATGACTATAAGTGTTAGATACTTAGATAGAAAAACAAAATTGCCGACATCACAGTGTTTTGAAGTTACTACGTATAGTCATAATAAACTATTGGATACTGCCTATTCATCATTATGCACCATGACTGAAAATCAAAAGTCTTTACATTGGTATTTTGTTATTTTAAAAATATTAAATACTTCTATTATAATTAATATAAGCACATATAACGGGCGATAAATTAGTTTATTAAAATTAATTTGGTTTAACTACATATTTCTATTGAAATAAAAAATGTCCAGTTAATTTTAAATATTTTAATTGTTTTCTCATAATTGCAAAAATAATAATACATAAACCTATATCTAGCATTTTTTCTATTGATAACACCTGCATATTATTATAGTTGCTCAACTTCCTGTGTATTATTTTATATAATATTTATCTTATGCTTTGATACAAAATTATGTACACTAGCTTGAATTCAAATGACTTCTTTGACTTCAAATGATTTTTATGTAGACTAAAATGTTTAAAACGTAGTATGATATATTTTATATTTATGTTGGAAGAGACATCCAACTTTATTGAACCAACGTGAATTTTCATAATTATTTATTTTAGGTACTTGTGACCAGTGGGTCGTCATAACACTCCGGCATGGATATTATATTATTTATTAGAAAGTATCTAGGAAAAAATGTATATCTCTTATTTTAGAAGTCGAGCACTATTTGCTCTATCCATAAGTATATTATCTCCTATAGCATAATTTTAAAATATGCTAAATAGTTGGCACGAGGGTATTTGAAATTAATAGAGATTAATAAACTATGTTTTTTAGCACAACTTATAGTCATGCCAATAAACTAATATTCATTTTTTACATTTTTGAACAGAACAATTCTAATTTTTTGTGTATTGTTGTTCACAGGAAAAATCCGATATCTTTTTTAGGTGTAGCTATTGGAAGGTTTGTGGAAATGAATGCAAAATCATCAATAGATAATTATTTCAATAAGGGAGCTGCCAAAGAAGTGAAAAATATTAATAGTCCATTGACTAAACCAGAAAACAGTACGACTTCCTCTGATATCAATAGTGAAAGTAATAGTTCTATGCTATTGAATGAACAACAATTCAAATCTAAAATTAGTTTACCACTATCAAATCAACCTCCGCCATCATTAAATCACTCTAACAATAAAAAAAACAAAACATGTATTAATGATGTAAAGAATTTAAAAACTATGTTTGATCAAATGAAAAATTCTGATAGTTTCTTCACTAATTCTTCCTCAACATTACAGAGTGTGGATCCTAAAAAAGAAATTAAGCAATATAAACTTGACAAGAACAGTTTTTTTACAAAAAAACTGGAAATTATTTCTCCAGTTAAGAATCAAGTAAAAGAGAAAATGACAACAGTTGAACAATCTTCCTCGACAAGTTCCGTGGGATTTTTATTGGAAAGCTCTGATGTTATTTCTCCTTCAAAAAATATATTAAATGATAATCATAACATAACAACTCAACCAGCAGATAGCTTTTTTTCAAGAAAACTGGAAAATGTATCGCCTTCGAAAAACCAAATAACTAATGATTCAAGAATAGAGTTAGTACCAATTGTTCAATCTATCATTACTAAAGATACTATTGAATTTACTCCTATAACATTATTATGTGAGCGGTGTGACAACATGATTGATATAGATACATACGATGAACACATAGATCATCACGTAGCAATAGAATTGAGCGAAAGTTTGAATATTATTAACCCTGTACAGCCATTAAATAATAAAATACTAAAAAGTAAACCAACAAAAAAGAAAAAAAATGAATGCGGTCTAAAACGTAAACAAAATTCAAAAGCTTCAAGTTCAAATCCTAAAAAACCATGCACAAGTATTTCATCATACTTCAAACCACTATTAAACCCGTAATTGTTTCTAACAATCTAGTGGAATTTTATTATAAAACTAAAAAGATTGATTTTCTAATTTAAAAATTTATATTTTTTTATTTTTGTACTTATTTTGTAAAACATAGTTTAGTAAAATAATGTAAATGTAAATGTAAATGTATATTATTGTCTATGTATATCAAAGAATATATTTATGTAAAAATAATTAAATTAAAAATTATATAGAATATCTTATAAATTTACTTCATAACTAGCTGAGGTTAGTTCCCCAGTCTTCACTCGGGCCATCACTCAAATATCTATGGATATTAGTTTATAGTTTAATTTATTAATTGGCAGTTGTTAAGTATAATATATTATATTAATTTTTTGTTGCCCAAGAAGTATAAGACAGAAATTAAGACTTGAAATTGTATATGCCTTTTAAGGTTAAACTACAACACATTTTCAACACAAATTAACGGGTAAAACAAACAATATAAAGAGAGATTTATTTAGTAAAAAATATGAAGATTTAAGAAAGAAATCAATGATGACATTGAAATACGAGTAGATAATACATAAATACTAAATAGTAAATATTAATCATACAGAACAACGATCTAAAAAAGCTAAAAAACATTAATAAATCAAGTATTTCATTTTAATCCTACTATTATTTATTATTATAATTATCGGATTTTGATTGGTCTCATGTATTCACTGTTAAACATTGCAATTTAAAGATGAGTCCAATGGTATGTGTTGTGGAAATCTCAGAATTGTATTGGAGTTCTATGCTTTTCTGTGAAATATAAATTTTCTAATGGAAAATATCATAGATTTATTAAGAATTGTCCAGTAATATATTAAATATTATACTTTTCTAGAATATATCTTGCATTTAAAGGGAAATTTCAAGAGTTTAATTGTATGTATTAAAATATTCATGAGATTTACCATGTCTTTTAAGGCTGGGGTCTCCAAACTACGGCCCGCGAACAAGTTTTAACCGGCCCGTGGCTCGCATAGGTGAATATAGATAAAAAAATTATTTCAAAAATGTATTTATATTATATTATATTTATACCTATTTATTTTTATTTAAATATATTGTTGAGTAAACAATATTTTATACAAAAATATAAAGTAAACATATTATTTATATAGGTAGGTACCTAATATATTATCATAAAATTAAAAATTATATGTGTCAATAAACTTTTGGCCCGCTAAGAGCATTTGATTTTTTTTGTGGCCCTTGAATAAAAAAGTTTGGAGACCCCTGTTTTAAAGGATACTTCAATGATTTTATTGAAAATCTGCCCTGTTCTAGGATATATCAATTCTTCAAACGAAAATATCATGGAATTTATAGGAAAATTAGATTTTGGAGGAAATATCAATCCTCTAATGAGCGATATATTAATTCTAATATCAAATGTCATATATTTTATGGGAGATTTTAATATTTTTATTAAGAATATATAAAATATTAAAATATATAATATAATATCTTGCATCTAATCAGGGGCGGACTGGCCAGGGGGGCTAGGGGGAAATATCCCCCTGGGCCGGTCTAAATTGTGAAATTTGGGCCGGTCGTTGAAGAATTAATAGCTGACTCGCAGTTTTTACACCCTAGTTGTTTTCGAGAAGATTTCATACAATCAATTTTTTTATTTTTGTGTCTGTCATCACGTTTTAGAACAGTAAAAGTGCTTGGATTTTCTTCAAAAGTAGCTTTTCTGATAGGTAATTGAATCTAGTTGGTACTTTGGGGGGGGGGGGTCAAAAGTAAAAATTTACTAGTAGTTTTCACAAGCGCCGGGAAAAACAACATAATAATTAAGGAAAAACGGGAATTTTTACGCAAAATCGGTTTTCCAAAAAATCGATTTTGGTTTTTGGTGTAACTCTAAAACAAATGAACGTATATACATGAAATTTTCACTGGTTGTTTATATTTGCATTTTATATACACGATAACATTTTCAAAATATTTTGATTTATTTTGAACTGTTTAGGGACATTTTCATTTTCCATTTATTTTTAGTTTTTTTTCTAAAAATATCAATAACATTTTATTTGTTGGTTGCAAAAGCTTGAAAATTTAATAGAAGGCTCCTAGTATATTGTTTCAAAGGCAGATGAAAAAAATTAAAAATCCTCAGTCACAATTTTTTTTATAAGCATTTAAAGTTCAAAAATTGACAAAATATGGAAAAATCACTAAAATTAGCAAATTATTTTGAGTTAAGAATTCGTAAAAATTTTTCTTTTTAAATCTAAGATTTAAAAATGTAATACAAGATTCCTTATAAGATTATCTACCTTCATCAAAAAAAAAAAGATCTATAAGAAAGTCAAATTAAATTTTTATGAGCGTTTGAAATTCAAATTTTTTCGACATTGGATATTCACTCGATTTATCATGTAACTATTTCCTTATTTTGTTGTAATTCAAAAACGAATATCTGTAGATACATGAAAATTTCACTGAATGTTCAAATTAGCATTTCCTATACACCATACAATTTTGAAAATATTTTGACTCTTTTTGAGTTATTTACGGACATTTGTCGCTTTCAATTTCTTTTAGTTTTTTTTTTCTATAAATATCAATAGTCTCATCTGTTGGGCCAAAGAGTGAAACAATTTAATACAAGGCTCCTGATATATTGTTACAATATCAGTTGAAAAATATTAAAAATACATATGCACAGTTTTTTTTTATAAGCATTTAAAGATCGAATTTTGACAAAATTTATCAAAATCTCGAAAATTATCAATCATTGTAATTAATAAATTATAAAATGTTCAGTTTTTATAGCTAAGGATTGCAAATTTAAAACAAAGGTTCTCATAAATAGTTCATACTGTAACCAAAAAATCTAAGAACACAGTTATTTTTTACAGACATTTTAAATTCAAATTTGGACGAAATTACATATTAAAAATCCTAGAATAACTATTTTAGTTATTTTATTGTGATTAAATATTACTATTCGTGGGTACTTGAAACTTCTAAAGTGTACTATTATATTATATCTATGATAGTATCCCGGTTTTTGTTGATGTATAACGCGTTATAAGTACCTAATGGATATTGTGATATTATTAATTCCAAATTTATTATAGGTACCTTTATAGGTCAAATTTTGGTTTAGTACCATAGAAATGTATATACGTAATATGTCTTATACCTAGACTGACATTATACCGTCTCCGCTCAGAATCGTTTTTCTTATACAATGATATTATATCGTTGAATTCAAATTTAATATCATCCATTACACAGTGACCCACTTGTAACCTACTGTACATCAGAGCGACACCCACTTGTCCACCTTTTTTTTTTTAAATAGTTCTACAAGTAAAATTTACATTTATTTTAAATTATAGTAATAAAACATTCATATTATTTATAATATCACAACTGAAATAGTAATAATATAGTAAAATATTTTGGGCCGCTAAGCTGTATTTCCCCCTGGGCTGACAATCTCCCAGTCCGTCCCTGCATCTAATGGGAAAATGTTAAGAGTTTAATCAGAAGTATCAATGTTTGTATGAGATTTGACATTTGTTGTATTATTATTTTAATGGACACTTTTCTGTGAAATGTCGAGCCTCTAATGGAACTATACATTTTTATATAAAATTGATCCGTTAGAGCGCGCCACTAGTTACAAACTTGTCACTTTACATGCTGTGGTTGAGAGGTATATTCTAAGACCGTGATTTTGTGATTCCCGTAGCTATACCATAGACATATTTTATAATTATTATATTATTATTTATTTATTTTATTATATTATTTTATATTATTATATTATTAATATGTCTATGAGCTATACTGACCTTCACTAGATCCAACTGAGTATGTTTGTCTTTTGTCTATGGTATCTATGTTGAATTTCAAGTAAATCGGAAGGGTAGTTATCAAGATTCAAGTTTACGAGTGCAGAAAAAAGCGACATTCATTCATTTTTATTTATATAGATAGATCAAAAACCAACTCATCGTACCTAATATGTTGAGACTCAGAATTGGGTCTCATGGCGGTTAGCCATATTTTGTGAAAAATTCCGTGGCGCTCAACGTGTTAAAGATCTTGTATTTTTTCTACTTGGCCATTATTACACATAGTTTACGAAGAGTGTTTGTTGTGCATATATATATCACAGAATAGTAAGTATATACTAGCTGATCCCGTGCACTTCGTGCACCCTAAAAAATGACAAACCTTAAAAAAATTATGACCGTTCATCTTCTCTTTTTGGATGTAATTCGTTGCAGTAAGTGCAACTCAGACACCCTGGTAGGCAATCCTACTATGTCGGATCATGGACAATGAGTGACAGCATATTATAACTTAGGCAAGACAGGCAGACACGCCGATCAGTGGATGTAAGTGCAACTCAGCCACCTTTGTAGGCAATGCGTGAAAATTCGATTTGATGCATGCTTGTACCTGATCTTCCCCTTAACCAATGGCAACCAATAAAATAATAAATACTAATTTATACTATTTATTTCTCATATAACCAATAGTAGCCATTTATAAACAAAAATTTACAACTTAAATCTCAAAATTCCTGTTTGAGCACCTCCTCGGGTTGGACTTCCCAGGTCAAAATGTAAATCTAAACTATCCAGGGAAAAAATAAAACACTCAAAAAAATTCATCAACTTCGGCCCAGCTGTTATCAATATTGATTAATTACTATACATATTTCACACCATTTTTGTATATATAGATAGATTATATAAAAAATAATATAGGTATTATAATAAAATATAAATTCAAAAGCTACTTAATAAATAAATTGCATTATTTCCACTTAACCATACCATGGACTTTGAACTAAATTAATTACTTCCCATATCAGTATGTTGTACCTATAGGTACGTTAAGCTGTGGCGTGTACAAGGGGGGACGAAGGGGTCAGATCCCCCCATTGGCTTTTTATTACCTTAGTAAAGCTTTGAGGGGTAGGAGGATTTTCCAATTTTCCCCTCCCATTTAGATATGTT